TATTTTATGAGTTCAGTATTAGTCTAATTCCAATGCCAGACGAAGACATCACATAAAAAGACCACCACAGAGCTAAAGCCCCTCAACCAGGTGTAAAAATCTTTAACAAAGCATTGTTGTTGTTGTTGCTAAGTGCTGTTGAGTCAGTTCTGACCCATAGCAATCCTGTATAGTGTTTCCATGGAGTGACTGGTGAGCTTGAACCAATGACCTTGTAGTTCAAACAGATTTTGCAGTCTAGCACATTAGTCCACAGCGCCACACCAGGACTCTAACAAAGCATTATCAAACAGAATCTAGTAACATACAGAAGAATTAAACACCTTGACCAGTATTGCTTATTAAAATTCTCCACAAACCAAAAATAGTTCCTCAGCCTGATAAAGGACATCTATAAAAATTGACAAATAGAATGATATTTTATGGTAAAAATACTAATGCTTTCCCCCTAAAACTGGGGACAAGATATCCACTCATATCGCTCTTGTTCAACACAGTGACAGATTATAACCATTCTAGCCATTGTAACAAGAAAGCAAAATAAACCGAGCATACATATTGGAAAGAAAGAAATGAAAACTGTTATCCAACAGCATATTAATCTAAAAGGATGGTCGTGGTGGCGGTGGTTAGGTGTTGTGGAGGTATTCCGATTCACAGTGACCCTGTACAGGGTTTCTGAGGCTGTAAATCTTCACAAGAGCAGAAAGCCTCATCTTTCTCCACAGAACCATTGGTAGTTCTGAACTGCTGACCTTGAGATTAGCAGCCTAACTCGTAGCCACTATGCTACCAGAGATATGTAAAATAGCATTGCTCCTAAAGTTCCAGTGCCTACATACATGGTTTATTCCAAACAAAACATATTTAAACATATCTGCAATCACTGGGTGCTTATAGACAAGTTCTTTTAGTAATAAACCTGTCTTTGTCTTGTTAGGGTACCATCAAGTTGATTTTGACTCAGTAATTCTATAGAACTTAGCAGAACTACTTCCAAGGGTCTCTGAGGCTGTAAATCTTTGTGGAAGCAGCTGGCCAACACTTTCTTCATCGAAGCAGCTGGTGGATTCACACAGCTGACCTTTTGATTAGCAGTTGAGCACTTTACCCACTGTGACACTAGTGTTCCTGACCTGGAGTTGATTCCGACTCATTGTGACTCTGTATAGGGTTTATGAGGAGTGGCTGATGAGTTTGAGGTGCTGACCTTTCAGTTCAAACCAACCTTGAGTTCAAGTGCTTATTCTACAGTGCCACACCAATTAAAACAATGAAGCAGTGTCACTGCCCAGTCACTATCATACAACAGACTGACTACACCAAGGGTTGACAACAATATGCAGACATAGGAAATCTCATTCAATAGTGGTGGTTATATAAAATGGTACAACTATTTTAGAAAATACTAGTAAAAGTTTCAAAATACATTTTCAATCCAGTTCAGTAACACTACAGCTACGTATGTACCAAAGTAAAATAAAAAACATGCATATACAAAGACTTAGGCCCAAATTTTCATAGCAGCATTATTCATAAATGCCACAAACTGGGAACAATTCAAGTGTCCTACTGGCTATCAATAATGGAGAAACTAAATGAGGTCTATTCATACCATGGGAGAAAGATGAGGCTTTCTACTCCTGTAAGGATTTACACCCTCGGAAACCCTGTACAGGGTCGCTATGGGTCAGAACCGACTCGACGGCACTTCACAACAACAACAACATTCATACCATAGACTATACACTTCCTACTACACAGCAATAAGAAGAAACTACTCATATTGGTCCATATGCATCAATATGGATACATCTCAAAAGGCTTATGTTAAGTGAAGGAAGCCTCTGTAGTAAGTGACAGAAGGCTACATACCATCTAATTCTATTTATTTTTATGAAATTTCCAGAAAGGCAAAACTATCCAGGAAGCCTGGGGCTGGGGATGAAGTACGGATTGAATGCAAGCAGGCACAAGGGAACTCTCGACAATGATGGCTATTCTATGGATTATAGTAAGGTTACACAACTAAATAATTTTAACAAAAATTATTGAAAACTATCCTTACAGTTGGTGAATTAATGGTCATATAAATTATACCACAATTGTGTGTGTTAAAGGCATAAAATGCATTATACCAACCCATTTTTTTCTACAGCAAGATATCCTATTGCCATGAAAATACTGTATATATTCTTATGTATGCTAGTAAAGGACACACATTTTCTGGAGTTATGTGTATGAAAAAGCATGTTTATCTCTGGGGAATAGGACTAAATTTCTGGGATAGGAAGGAAAATTACTTTTCATTGTATACTTTCTAACATTATTTGCTTCAAAAAACCATTGCATACTACTACTTTATAAATAAGAAATCACAGTAAATATTTGAAAAGAAACAAATAACTAGAAGCCTGATATAAGAAGCCAGGTGTTTGAATCTGCTCTGAAAAAAAATGGATGCATCTCTGAATCTCTGATTGAAACCACAGGACTTAAGAGTAGCCAATAATAAGATACTCGAAGTCAATTTCATCACACAAACATTGTGCTAGTTCTTATTAACTTCAGAGAGATGAATGCAAATTTGGGAATTTGGAGTATCCCATGGATTTTTGGACTAGAAATAACTTTAAGTTTCACAAGGCACTATATCGTGCAATTCTTTACTAGTGAAAAATAACATACAAAACCCCTCCAAACAACAACAAAAATTCCAGAAAACAAAATGAGTTCTTCACACTAAACACAATGCAAACAAAACTTTGATTAATGAGAAAGACAGAGAGAGAGACCCTAACACTTGGCTGATAGCCGGCACACAATAAATTTTTTTCAGGGAAAGTACACATTTTAATAATACACATAAAGGACTTGAGGATTTCACAGTGATTCTCCTGCTATGCCATGGCTTAAAAAAAGAGCCATTACATATGAAACTATCCAAATTGGTTTCTATTCATATTCATACATTTAATATTGCCCAGTGATTTTCAGCTATACCTTTTAATATCAAAAACCTTCTCCAAAGATTTGATTTTCAATGCCTGTTTAATGCAGATTTGCTTTAAAAAGCAATGGGAAAAATTAAAATGCACTATTGATATTTAACGTTAAAATCTAAACGCTATTTTGTATCAATGCTTTAGGAAGGAAAATTTAAGATTGCTTTGCTGAAATGTTAATTGTTATAAATGGAGGAATTTAATGCATTCAAAAAATTCATACAGTGTTGCTCATAAAAACCTACTATTTGGCATTCATTTTCAAAGAAGGAATCAACAATAATACCTCCTTGAAAGGAAAAGCTGTTCAGAAACAACAAAATAAATCAAAATGTTAAAAGGTGCTTCAGTTTGCATTCCAAACTGACAGAATGCTTATGCTTTTAGTGCTTTAACTAGGAAATCATACATGCTTGCCACATTGTGCTCTGCACATACAAATTCCTCACAGTACTGCTCTTCCTGACCCAACCCTGCCTCAGTACTAGTTTAGACTCAACAGACCTTTAGTGAGCACCTACTGTGGGTCGTTCAATACTAAGGACGCTACTGTCAGGTTAAAAAATATAACCCCAAACCTCTTGCCTGTCCAGTCAATTCCCATTCATAGCAACCCTACAGGACTGAGTAGAACTGCCTCACACTTTCCAAGGCTGATATCTGTATGGAAGTTGATTGCCAGCTGTTTCTTATGCGGAGCTACTGGGTGGGTTTGAATCTCTAGCCTTTTGGTTCTCAGCTGAGAACTCAACCACTGTCCCTAGGGCTCATTATCATCAGGTTGCTATTGTATGTCACTGAGTCGGTTCCAATTCAAAGCGGCACTGTATAGGATTTTCAAGAGTGGCCAGTGGGTTTGAACTGCCAACCATGTGGTTAGCAGTGCAGTGCTGATCCTACAGTGCCACACCAGGGCTCAGCATCAGGTTAGATAGTAGTAATATCCCAGAGTATAAGAAAACCAGTCAACGAAAACCCTATGGGACACAAGAATACAATCTGCAACAAATTACGGGTATGGCACAGGATTCCCATGTGCATGGTGTCACTGTGAGTTGGGGATGATTCAAAGGAAGCTAAAAAGAACAACAATAAATGAGAAATCTAAGGCTCATGGACCAAGTGTCCCAAGTCTCCAATTTTTCATGCAGGAAAACCAGGACCTAGCCAACATCTTCATGCTGTTTTCAAATATCCTTTCTGCTATCTGTGACCCCTTCCCTCCTTCCTTTCCTGAGCTTCACTGATCAGCAACAGCACAGTAACAGAGAAGTGAGGGAAGGACCCACTGCTCAACAACCCCCCATCTTTCTCCACTGACAAGGTAGAATGGAGGAATCAACTAGGGTTCAGAGATCCTATCACAGTCGACACTATTTCCATTCTATCCTTCACCCAGAACATCCAGCACAGGACTTCAGCCCTGGCGCTGTTCCACCACTTTCATCTCACATCATAGGTGTCTATGGTTGGAACACTTTCTATAGAAATGGAAGATACATCCTGAGCAACCGTATTCAGAATTCTTATAGGGATTATCAAGACTATAATTGGTTATGAGTAGAGTTGAACTGGCTTCTCACTGCTAAACTGACATTTCAATCACCATCAAGGCATTGCTTTCATAGGCAATGGCAGAGACAAACCAGTATGAGTTCTCACTAGTGAACTTTTGGAGTATAACTCATTCATTGTTGGTGATTCAATCTCCAAGTTCATATCAACCTCTGAATTCATATCAACCTCTGTATTAATATCAACAGAAAAATTTAAGACTAAAAGCATTATTGTTATTATAGTCAATATGAGAATAAAAAAGGAAAAGGTAAAAATGTAAAGATTCTGCTCCTTGAACTCATATTTTTCTCTTTTACCTTTAATTTAAAAAGTGCAATTTCAATAGATTCCAGAGAAACCTCCATTTTTCAATATCCTTATAAAAGCATCTACTATTTTACCCACATATTTATTGCTAAGTCAATGTTTTAGTCTTACCTCCTCGATGGATAATCAATGAAGTCTCACTTCCAATGGGACAGTCCTTAAGTATATCCACTACTTCTGTATGGCTCAGGTTCTGTGCATTCTGCTGGTTGATCTCCACAATGAGGTCACCTTCACACAGGCCAGGGCATCCCTGAATGTCAAGTATTTGTTTCACCCGCTGTCCTGTAGGGCTGTCGGCAATAGTGAATCCAAAGCCCTGGGCACCTTTCACAATGGTTAAGGTCATAAGTTCAGCTTGGGTGGCCCCAGAGGATGCCATAGACACATTGTCGTCATGGACAGGTGGTGGATACGTGCCATCTAGTTGGCCATCTGCTGGCATGGAGTGCAAAGAATGAGGTGGCCGATCTGTTATATCAGGAACAGATTGTGAGGTCCGAGAAATGTATTCTAAATATGTTTCATAGTTATGTCTTCCATTGACCATCACTGGCGGTTGTCTCTCCATTATTGCAAGGGGTGGCACCATGCTGTTAGCAGGATCTTCAGGATCAAAGGGCAAGGGGTAGCCACGACACAACACCAGGTTGACACTCTGACCAATAGGAACAGACTGGAAAAGTTTGACTACATCGGCATGAGTGTGTCCGAGGACACAAACTTCATTAATATAGACAATGACATCACCTGCAAGGAAAAAAGAAAGAGATTGACAACATGAGGTAAATTCAATTAATGTTGAAATTAAGGAATGGAATTATTTATGAAACTAGTGGGGGAAGTGCTCTGTTTCTCAGTGAGAAAATCAATTAGAGTAATATTTAAATTCACTGTAGGTGACTCAAGGTTACAACTGGTCTGCCAACAAATATAATGATCAAATGCTGAAAAAAATGCTATTTGATTATTCTTGAAATGCAGAAACAACTTCATATTCAGAAGAAAGGTTCATAAAGAAAAGGTTAGAGGAACACATTCTGTTTTCTATTTTCCATCTTCTGGGCAAATTCAATTAATAGAATTTCAAAACTATTGAGAAATAGTGGTCATGAGTTTTAGGTGAAGGAAAAAAAAAAAACCCTGTTATGTGGGATTTTTAGTTGGTATTACCTGACTGAGTAAACTGCCTTTTTGAAAGAGGTAATATTTTGGCGATTATTTTTTCCCCCACCTAAATAAAGTAAGTGTGATTGCAAAGGGAGTTCTGCTGTGGTGCTGCAGGATAATGTGCTGGACTGCAAGGTCAGAGGTTCAAACCCACCAGCTGCTGCAGGGAAACCCTATACAGGGTCACTACGGGTCGGAACTGACTCAACAGCACTTAACAACAGCAATTGCAAAGGTTCCACAGAATACAGGTTTAGGATCAAGAAACTGGGTCCATATCCTGACTACAATTTAACAATTACATGCTCTTGGGCAAGTACTTACCTGGTATGCCCAAGAAAAGTTCCTCATATGCAGTTATTGTGAGAACAAAATGAGATCACGCAGGGAAAGCAGATGGTTTCAATATATGTGAACCAATACTCATATGATTGTTGTTAACATAGGAAGTAGGGGATTTAGGACTCTGGCTTTCAATCATAAAGGAAGCTGTCATACACTCACGCTTTGCTGTTAGATTAATTGGCATTTCTTTTGGTCATTTTTAATAAAGACATTTGTCATTTCTCCCTGGTGAATACAGGTTTGCAGAGGTCAACTCATTAAAAGATAACTATCTGATATTAAAAATGCCCTGAGTAGACATTCTTAATTATAAATTATCAGAAAGCAATTTTTACTTTTAAAAATGAAAAAATATGGTTGATTGATAGAATTGTTCTAATAAAAAATTAAATTATTCATGAATAATGAATTTACTTCTGGGGAAATGTTCTATCATGAATTGATATGTTTATCCCCTCCCAAACCATAACATTTGAGAAGTGAACTTTCAAATTGAGATTGTGCCTGAATATGCTTAGGAGCAGATGAGGGATGAAAACACATGTTTTCACAGATTGCCAAATAAGTATCTGAACACACATCAATTCATCAGAATACTTTTGAAATGGATAGTGTAAATGGTGATAAAATTGATGACTTCAGAGTTTGCCCATCAAGACTATAAACATCAGAAACAAAACCAGACTTGAACTTTCAGAATGCAATGCTTTTCTGGTCCTTCTTAGGTACGTAATATAAAATTATTTCTTAATTAAATGTAGTTGATAAGTAAATAATTCATCTCCTTGAGGATCTTCCTCTTTTTTTGCTAACCCTCTGCTTTAAAAGTATGATGTCATCCTCCTAATAACATGTCTATCGTCGTATGAGAGATGAAGTTTCACCATCTCAATTCTAAGGAATATTCTGGCTATATGTCTTCTATAACAGATATACTAATTCTGGCAGTACATGATATAGTCAATATTATTCACCAATACCATAATTCAAATGCATCAATTCTCCCTTGGTCAGCTTTTATGAGCATATGAAGAGATTGAAAATACCATGATTTAGGTCGGACGCCTTGTCCACAAAGTACATCTTTGGTTTTTAATGCTTTAAAGAAGTCTTCTGTAGCAGATTTGTCCAATGCAATATGTTTGATCTCTTGACTTCTGCTTCAATGGATGTTCACTGTGTACCCAAGAAAAATGAAATCCTTGACGTCATTATTTTTCTCCATTTATTATCATGCTGTTTATTGGTCCAGTTTTGAAGATTTTTGCTTTGTTTATGTTGTCGTGCGATCCAGTCTTTGACCTCCATCAGTGTTTCAAATCCTTCTTGCCTGTATCACACAATGTTGTATCATCTGAATTTGATAGATTGTTAATATATCTTCCACCAATTCTGACACCATAGATTTTTTTTTCATGTAGTACATGTTCTCAGATTATTTGCTCAGCACACAGGTTAAATAAGTATGGTGAAAGGACATAATCCTGATGCACACCATTTTTTATTTTTAATTATTCATTCAGCATCCTGTTTTGTGTGTTTTTTTTTTTTTTTTTTTGGTTGTTGAATGATTGCCTTTTGATCTATGTACAGTTTCTGCATGAACATACTTAAGCGTTCTAGGTTCCCATTCTTTGTAATGATCCACACATACAAATACTTTTTACAAAGTCAATACAACACAGGTAATCATCTCCCTGGTATCTTTGTTTTCAGCCGAGAACCATCTGATATCTGCAATGATATCCCTTATTCCATGTCCTTTTATGAACCTGGCTTGAATTTCTGGTAGTTCCCTGTTGATATACTGATGCAATTCTTTTTTAGTTATCTGCAGCAAAATTTGACTTATGTATGATGTTAATGATATTGTTTGATAAATGCCACGTTCTGTTGGATCACTTTTCTTTGGGATGGGCATGAATATGGATCCTTCAATTAGGTTGGTCAATATCTTGGCATAAATGAGTGAGCATTTCCAGCATCTGTTTGTTAAAACATCTTAATTAGTATTCCATCAATTACTGAAGATTTATTTTTTCACCTATGTCTTTAGTGCAGCTTGGACTTATTCCTTCAATACTATCAGCTCTTGATCATATGCTACCTACTGAAATGGTTGAACGTTGACAAATTCTTTTTGGTTCAGTGACTGTGTATTCTTTCCATATTCTTTTGGTGATCCCTGCACTGTACAATATTTTGTCTACAAAATCCTTCAATATTGCAACTCAAGGCTTGATTTTTTTCTTTAGCTCTTTGAATTTTAAAGAAATGGCAAGCATATTCTTCCTTTTTGTTTTTCTTAACTCAAGGTTCTTCATATTTCATTATACTTTCTCTTCTGAAGTCAAATGGTTTCAAATTACTCTTTTTTCCCCTCTTCTTTCTTCTTCTAGTTGAGCTCTGATCATCCAGTCATTGAAGCCAGGTCAAGTGGGTATTATCTGCAAGTGTGGGTGTACTTATGCATATGCCCTCTCTTCTTATCAGCTGGATGCTTCACTCTCCACTCTAGTCCCCTGTGGCTATGTCACTGACTCTGGGCCCAGGAGTCCATAGGTCTTGCAACACTGCTGGTCAACCAGGTCTCCACCCAGGTTCACAGGAGTCTACTGAACATTGTAGGGCTTAGCTCACCGCTTCATTGTTGGTTTCCCTCACTTCCCCTTATTGGTGACGAATGTGGTCACCAATCAGAGCATGTATTCCCATTGAGTCTTAGTCAAAGAACCAGCTTCTTGTCCTGTTGATTCCTTCTATAGTTTTCCTGATTTCTATCTCATTTATTTCTGCTCTAATCTTTATTTCTTTTATTTTGGTGGCTGTAGGTTCCCTCTGTTGGTCTTTTTCTAATTGTTGTAGATGCTGTGTTAATGTGTTAATTTGGTTCTTTCTTCTTTTTGGATGTGTGCGTTTATTGCAATACATTGTCCTCTCAGCACTGCTTTTGCCATGTCCCAAAGATTTTGGTATGTTTTGTTTACGTTCTCAATTGTTAGTAGGAACTTTGTGAATTCACGTTTAATTTCTTCTGTTACCCAGTCGTTTTTCAGCAGGGTGTTATTCAGTTTCCATGTATTTGACATTATTTCCTTGTTCTTCCTATTTTTGATATCTAATTTGATAGCATTGTGGTCTGAGAAGATGCTTTGTAATATTTTGATATTTTTAAATTTATGGAGATTTGATTTGTGGCCTAAGGCATGGTCTATTCTGGAGAATGTTCCATGTGCACTGGAAAAGAATGTGTAGTGTGCTGTTTGTTGTTGGGATGAATGCTCTGTACACATCTATGAGGTCCAGTTGGCTGATTGTTTTGTTTAGTTCTGTGTTTTTTTCAAGTTTCTTTCTGGTTGTTCTATCCATTTTTGAAAGTGGTGTATTAAAATCACCAACTATTATTGTACATTCATCTATTTGTTTTTTCAAGTCTATTAGAGTTTGCTTTATATATTTTGGAGCTCTTTCATTGCAAGCATAGATATTATGGTTATGTTATCTTGTTCAATTGTCCCTTTAATCATGAGGTAATGTCCATTTTTATCTATTATGCTGGTTTTTGCCTTAAAGTTTATTTTTATCAGCCATTAGTACTGTCATTCCTGTTCATTTTTAAATTACAATTAGCTTGGTATATTTTTTCCCATCCTTTGACTTTTAATCTGGTTTTGTGTTTGTTTGCGAGATGTGTCTCTTGCAGACAGCATATTGAAGGATGTTGTTTTTTTATCCATTATGCCAGCCTCCATCTCTTAACTGGTGCATTTAATTCATTTACATGTAGTGTAATTATCGATAGGTATGGATTAATTGCTGCCATTATGTTTGTTTTGTTTTTTTGGGGGGTGTTGCTGCTTTTGTGGTTCCATGTGTCACTGAGTTCATGTTTTGTGTTCTTTCTTGTGAGTTTCCTCATAGTTTTACTGTTTCCATGTTCTTCTTGGATTTTCATTTTCTTGTTATGTTGTGAAGTGTTAGTTTTCTTTGACATTGCCTTATAGTCCATTAACTTTTCTCTCCGTTTTGTGCAGTCTATTTTATCTTGTAATCTACCTGACCTTCTCACCATCAGGATCTCTGTTCCTACATGTTTACCTTCTTTTACATTGTACTTATTTTGATCATAGACTGACCTCCCAGATTCTCTGAGTTTGTTCTCATAGCTTCTGTTTTTCCTGGAATGTTTTGATTACGCCATTGTATTTGATTGATAGCTTTGCTGGATAAAGGAT